CAAGCAGAAAAAAAATGTGAATCAGTCTTGGGGAAAAGAGAGATCGAGCGAAAGAGAGAGAAAGAAAAAAAAACACGCACACAACCAAAGAATTAAATAATTCAAAACCATTGCACAGTGCATCACAAGAGCACGTATGCACTACACACGCTGGATAATTCAAATGTTTTGTCATACTCGGTCGATTTACTGTTGCCAGTCTATGCGCTGCACTCACATGTGCGCTAGTCACTCTCATCGCATTGAGATACAGAAATGTCTGCGAGCACTGCATTTTCTGGCTGTGTGGATGCTGGTGCTGCTGTTGCCGCTGCTTTATTTATCTTGTTTCTTTTGGACGATTTTGTTGTAGTTTTTGTTCGTTGACGTTTCGAATGCATCGGGAGATATGGTAAAACGAACGAAAGAACCGAGAGATAGAAGGGGAAAAAAAACAGAAATGAGACACTGAGTACCATGCAGTCAACTGAACGAATGAAGAACGCAACACAATGGGATTCTTTGTATCATATTATGTCACGATGCTCCGGTGCACTCGGCACCAAATCTAGTACGGAACCCATTTCATGCAAGTCGACTGGTGCTGCTGCTGCTGCTGTTGCTGGTGCTGTCGCGCGCTGCCATTGCCTTTTTTCCCTTTAAGCTGTTGGTTTGTTTTCCAATTTGACATACGACGAGGTGCATGCTCATTGTAAGCTGAAAATGGATCGAAGCACATTCGCATTTGCACAGAGACTTGGATGCATAACGATCAAGAGATAACAATGATGTATCTCTGGCTCTCAACGAGCGAGCGAGTGAGAGATACACTCTCGGCGAAACCAAAACAAAAACAACACAACAGAATTCAAGACTCGGCTTTACCGAATCCGCATGTGTGTACGATACGCGAATCTCTGAACTGTCTCGTCGCGTTCGAAATTCTAGAGCAATGCCTTTCATCGCTTCCATCCTTTGTGACCATTTTGAACGTACACAGAGAGAGAGAGAGAGCGATGAAGAAAAAAACAATCTAATAATAATGCACAAGCACACCAGAGATAGTTGTTGCATTTCGTTCGCTTGCGCTTGCAAACGGTGCATTGCAAATAAAATAGCGAAAATATATTCAAAGGCAGCTATTTACTGGTTGTTTGTGTTGGCTGATTTATCGCCTTTTTTATGCGTTTCTAACAATTCGATGCGCGGTGCATCGAATAGCGAAATAGAAGAAAAAAAAGCAGCAACAACAACATCATCGAAGTAGAAAGAATGTTTGCTTTGATTTTACGTGTAATGTGAGGCACACAGTGTGTTCTATTTGAATTGTACGTACACAATGTGTAATGTATGTTTCACATTCAAGAGAGAGAAACGTTTGGTTAGTGCACCGCATTTAATCGGACTATCGTCCTATCGCATAAAATTGCCAAGCTCATGCACCATTTAAGAACATCGACACCGCAATTTTGCCGTCTTTAGATTTTTCGCATCACACAAACGATGGCTAATGATTGGTATTGCGCTCTTGTATTAAATGCGCTCACCCAAACCGCCCGAACTCTCTCTCTCTCTCGGAACCAAAGCAAGCCAAAGTCGAACAAGAGAAAACAATTTCTTTTGCGGGCACGTTTCAGTTACTCTGAATAGCGTTGTCGTCGCCGTCGTCGTTGACCATTGCCGTTGTGTTCATCGCGGAAAATAACATGTGTGCTTTGACTCTTCGGCCAATCGTCAAGCGATTATCGTAAATAAATCGATTTAAATAGCCGCTGTGTGATCAATGATTGTGTTACGTACACGATATTTCGATATGAAATAAAAGCATTACTTGTTTTCAGACCGTTTTCGCACACTGAACTCTCTTGTTCTTGTCCATTGTGTGTGTTTGTGTGTGTGTGTGCTCGACCAGTCCGCAGCGACTACTCGATTTCTCAGGAATGTCTTGTTCGAAAATCGTCTAATGATTAATGTAATATGTGCAGAAAGTGTAAGAATTTCCTTGTTCTCCCCACAATCGTACTATCGGTGTGCATGTGAGTGTGTATACAAGACGGTTTTGTTTCTTTTATATTTTTTGCTTTTTATTGAATTGCTGCTTCTCTTTTTTTTTCATTCACAAGAACCGAATTCAATACAACAAACGGTCGGCATATTGAATTCATAGATTTTCGATCTTTGCGCACATATCTACACATTGTTTAACATTACCCAATCATTCCGGGCCATAAGAAGCGAAACAAACTTGGCACACAATAATAACAATGAGCCGAACTGAATGAGGTTGCAGCGCATATAGAGAGAGATAGAAGGAAGAAGCATCTTCTATGAGTTGTTAGAAGATATGGCCAACAATGGCAAAACCGAATGTCACACAATATAATAAAAATAAGTAATATAATGTTCGATTTAAAAGGATTTTCTTCGCTTCACCGAGCGATAGGCAGAGAGAGAAAAGGAAGAAGAGAGCGACACTAACACAATATGATTTATTTAGCATTTTTGTCTCTTGTGCATCGTTCATTCATGCAACTCTCTAGCTTCGACACATACTGCAGTTTCGGCTTTGCATGATAAATGGTTTGACTTTGGATCGAAAAACCATTCTTAGGCAAAAGGAACGAGAGCAAGCGAGAGCGAGAGATCGATTTTGAAAAAAGAGTGTGGTTTAAGATAGGCGTTCCGTGAAAATTGCATTTTTTCCGGATGACACTAAAATATATACGGACAAAAAATGGAAGGAGATGGTGTGCAATCGAACGATGGGAAAACTGCACTTCTTAAGCAAAATATCTGTGTCATCGATATATTTTTTTCTCAGTTCATTCAGTTTTTTTTTTTAAATAAAAAAAGAAGGTTTTATGACCTGTTACGATAATTTTTTTCGACAAAAGGAAAGGCAAACGATAGATAGAACGAGAGGTTTTTCTATCGATGTTTTTTTTAACATTTTTATGCTAGAACGAACTTCCTTCAGCCTCATTCATGCATGCACAGTGCACACATAACAACACACCAAAAATCCCTAGTCCAGTTGAAAATTCAGTAATCGCTGTCGATGAATTGCCTCTAATCAATTCAGCCCGAGAAACTGTTGCCCATTGATGGACGGTTTATACACAATATCCGCCACCAGCCAGTTCGTCTCATTCATTGAAACCAGAAGCGCCGACAATGACGACGACGACGAGCGTGAGCAAATTAATGCAAAAACTTAACGAAGCACAAACGATAAAGGAAAAAAGCCGAGAAAATCGCTTGATTTATTTAGCATACAGCACATGTTGCGTTTCTCACACGCATCATCCACACATGCACACATACATACACACACAGGAAAAAGGAGCACCGAACCATCAGTTTATTTGGCACGTCCAAGCAAAGCGACCGGTCACATAGCCGTGTGTCAGTATGTATGAATGTGTATTATTCGAATCGTATGTGGCGAGAAAAAAAAGACGAAAAACGATAATAAGTGCTAAATACCAATTCACACTGTAATTTTGGACGGAGCTGGGTGCTAAAACACCGTAGCGCATTGCATTCTGGCTTAGAGAGTATAGAGTGTTATTATACCCGATGGTGGTGTAGTAGTGATGGCTGTGGCAAATGCCATTGCCTCATATAAAATCATCTCATTTATATTTCAACAGAATTACATAATGCGAGCATTCGCTTTCGCCATCGCCGTGTGCAACATACCGAATAAATACACACATAGTGTAGTCTCGTCTCGACATGTTCAAGCCCGAGATTTTTCCGAGATCCTTACGGCAATAGTGGAACGTATCATTGGCGTTACAATCCTTCGAATTACACAGACGATAAAACGACCAACCAACCAACCAGCCGACTACAATGTTTATTCAACTCAAAACGAACACATTGACAATTTCACAAAACTTAAAACGACACACAGGGCAAGAGACAGCGAGAGCGAGTGAGAAAAAAAAACGAATAAAACGCAAAAACATTGTGTCAAACTTCAAAAAACGCTTCCCTTTCTTTTCGTACATGCATCTAATTACCTTCCTTTTGCATTGTAACCAAACCAACGAAACCAACTACCCTCGTGTTTATTTTTTCGTGCGATGTGCTGTGGCCGTGCAGCGTGCGCGTAGCAACACAACGGAAATATGCCAAAAATGCGGCGTCAACGGCAACAGTAGCGGTTTTTTTTTCCTATTCTGTCATTGTTACGACAACAAATTGATTCAGCGAAACGACAATCACACAACAGCAACACAAAAAAAACCGTTTAAAATAACAACAAGCAACGAAGACGACATCATCATCCTAATACCCCTAAGTTCTATAGAGTGATTTCTTTTCTTTGCCTTGTGCAAGAGGAAGTAATGTCGGTATGGAGATGTTTTGGCTAATTTTCCTTACGATGCAGACACATTTTTCAAAGAATAGTTTTAATTTCTTTTGTGCAGGCAGAATACGGCGACGACGAAGCAACGAAGAAATTCGACTAACGTATGTTATGTGTTTTGTCGCACGATCGTCCATGCAACATGTAACATGCGGCAAGTGACATGACACGGAGCGAGAGAGAATTGAAAGAGAGTGCATTTGTTGCTTTCATGAGTTCATAAGGCACAACACGGAAACGTAAACAGCGCTGCACCGAACGACAATCCTCCGAGAGACCGGGAGAAAGCAAGAGAGTCGAAGCGCCGAGCGACACACTGCATTCGATCCAAACATACAGCGTTTCATTCAAAACACATGGCTATAGTCGTTTCCATGCGAGAGCACATCGCACACATGGCATATTCACTGCGTCTCTCTTTTATGCACGCGTTCACTTCTCGCAGACTTCTTTTATTTTTCACCCTCGTTGTTGTACATCAGTTTACAACTGTTTGGAATACGCACTGTGATTTTAAGCGAGCACACGACTGCCGTTTGCGTTGCATGCACCGAGCGCACCGAGAGTGTTGCGATTCTATGCGTCTGTTTCGCATATATTTCGGGTCTCGGGCACTGAAAATAAACAACATTGTGCAGTTGGGAATCAATGTTGAGAGCACAGTTCAGTAGAGCTTTGGCTGCCGGTACGTTAAGACGTCGAAGAGATTTTCGCTCTCGTCATTTTCAAAACATTCAATATTTTGCTGTAGGTGAACACAGAGAGTGGAATAACAAAAGTGAATAAAATATCGTGCTAGTGCATTATACATTAGTCATTCTGGACAGGGCGATAACATAAACCGTGGAATTTTCTCTGTTTTTTCTTCTGTTTTTTTGTAACGAATAAAAAAAAAGAGAAGAAATTGTCTAAGTTTTTCAAGCTATTAATTGCTCACTGGGGACATTTTTGTTTCGTTTAATTTCGACGAATTAACGACAAACCAGGAGATGAAAATTTAGTCATTTGTAAACATATGCACACGACGACGACGCATTTTCAGACAAGAACACAAACACACACAACAAATTCATTGAGTGCTAAGTGATTTAAAACCAAAAAAAAAGAACGAAAAACAATCAAAACTGATCGAAAAAAAGGAAAAAAAAAATAGAAAACGTGATAAAGATATCGAGCTGGAATATGAAACAGAAAATAGAAATATTCTGGACAAGTAAATGCAAGGTGACAACCGACATCTGATGCACTTTTTTATGAGTTTTCGACTGAAAAAAAAAACTGTTTGATAGACTTGAAGACAGTGCTTAACTGTTTATTCAAGAGACAAGAGTGCTGAGATTGTAATTGTTTTTTAAACGTAACAGCCAAAGAGCAAACAGAACGAAGACGTGTAAAAAAAAAGAGAGACCAAAACGGAACAGTGAACTGTTTTATTGATCGGAAGTGTGAAGTTGAATTTACCGAGTGGATATTTTATGATTTCTAAATAAAATCGAAAATCGGTGTGTCGGTGTGTTTCATTTTGAGAGTTGAAAATCTGTGAAAAATTTTTCTTGTTTCGGCACAACACGCAAACGGGCCGCGAGTAATACACATTTCGTCAAATAGGCAATCCGAAGAAAAGATAAGAACTGTCACAAATCTTTGGGATTAATACATCACCGCAACAGTTTTTGTCGGTGAGTGTTCGAGTTTTTCTGCTTCTAATTTTTTTTTATTCTGTCATCTATATCAGTTCCATTAGAAAAAATGCAGACACACGATAATTTAAGTAACAAAAATAAAGTATCATCGATTGTTGGAATTAATCCAGCAAGAGAGATAGAGAGTGTTTGACGTCAAGTTTAATGCTTATTGCACACAGGAATTCAAAGATTAGATCGACGACGAAAGAAGAAAAGTTGTTGGCATTTTTTTAGCGCTTCAATTTTTCATCGTCTTATTCTCTATTTAAAATATTCGGGCTTCAATTGAGAACGCATTTTCAAACGCTATTTCTCTATCTATATTTATGAAGATTACTTCACCACAAAATTGACGCTTGCCACAGAAGATAGAACAGTCGAATAGTCTGGTGTTTGCAAACATGAACCAGAATTCAAATCTATGCATCGATGAAAAATGTTTCCATGTACTACTGACTAATGTATTTGAAAACCAGAAAAAAAAAGATAATTTGTTTTACCGTTGTATCGTCGAAATGGTTGTTGCGTATCAACACAGAGATATTTTCTGTCGCTTGGACACTTTGTAACGATGTATAAATGTTTTTCGGTGCAATTCGGAATTAAAAATTTCAATTACTGTCCCAAATTAATCATTCAACAATGCTATAAGCGGATAAAGAGAAGCGGAAAAAATCATCATATTTGGTTCAGTGTTTTTGTACGGTGAAAGCAAGCGGGGAGAGCGAGTGTAAGTGGAAGAGAGTCGTAAACGTTTGTCAGAATTCATTTCGTTTGATATATTTGTCTGTCGAGTTGTGTTTCATATATGACGTACTTTTTATTGCACGGTCATTCCATATCTCCCTTTTTTTTCGTCCATGAAAAAGCCGAACTGAACAAAAACGAAAAAAAAATAAATTTCTCGAACCGAAAAAAAATTGAAAAATAAACTCGAAATGCATTTGCTGCAATTTACAGGAGCATAAAAATTATTGTAAACGAAAAATCGTAAAAAAATAACATTACACTTTTCGCTTCGATTTCCAATCAGAATGCTCGCACTCGCATGCTGATGTGATAAGCTAGAAAATTTAATTAAGTCGGTCTTAAAGTATTTCTCCAACCTTTGGCCTCTTCTCGCTCTCGCTCTTCGACTAGCTCGTCTCACTGCTCCTTCGATTTGAATATATATATTTTCGGTTCTTTCGGCACGAACAACTTCCAGGAAATTGCATTCTCGTGTGATGTGTACGTACATAGGGAAAAGAGCATAATAATAACAACGAAAACCGAACACTTAACCGAACATGATTTATTGATTTGAAATTTGAAATGCATGAATCATGGATTGATGGAGCCGCGAGGCAATGTTTAGCGCTTTGCGTTACTTTTAACCATTTAAAAGAATTGGAACCTCGAACGTTGACGATGACGATGGTCGGGGCCCAAGTAAGAAATGAAGAGAAGCGTAGAGAAAAAAAAAGTGTATCCGCGCGCGCGGTGTGCACAAATAACTTCTATATACATATTCTTATCTAGATGTGTATCAGAGTTTTGTGGCAAAAGCTATGAACTTCTTTCTCTCTTGGCGCACCAAGACGAAAACACAACAACAACACCAACAAAAAAAAACATATGAAAATTGTGCAAATTGATGACTTTATCGGTTGCGGCAAACGGTTTGTGCCAAGATTTAATTCCTACATATTCATAGCATTTCGCATGCGGTGGTGGCGGCAGCAGCTGCAGCAGTTGTTGCTGTTGTTGGCGGCCGTGTTACTGAGGTCGTTATCGTTGTTGTGTGCATAACAGCAGTTAGAGAAAGAGAACGTGTGTGCATGCCTGCTATCAGACTATTAATTTTTATACGGTTCGGGTTCGGTTCGGTTTCGATATGGAATATACATATATTCGACTAAAGGATTAAATGGATGAACATAATAATAACGTGATAGTGCAAAAGTGAGGTGAAATTGAAATATGCAATAATTTGAGTTCAAATATATCGACTCGGTATTACAAAACGGGCACTCGTTCGTTCATTCGTTCGTTCATTCGTTTCGTTTCACCTAAACTCAAAATGCCATGCATGATATTTGTGCCCATGCCAATGCCGTGAGTGTGTGTGTACAGTCGTCCCATTGTTGAAAGCAAAAAAAAGAAAACAGATAAAGAGCAGATAGGTTTGGTTCTCTTGGTTCACCGTTTGTGTTTGCCTTTGCTTGTGTACGCTCGGTTTTTGCCTACCGAAGTGTGTTTCTCACTATGCGTGTTTTTTTTTCGCTCTGTGTCTCACTTTGCAAGCCTACGAATGTGATTTGTGATACGTACGTTTCGATGGTATTTCGCTTGGAATTTAATTGCAAATATGGGTTGGATTCGTTATAATTGCGGTATCACCAGTCACGTTCCATCAGTTGCTAAAGTGTAGAACAATTTAAATGTGTGCGGTTCGCACAATCCACTCACTCACTCACTCACACGCAGACTTTGTTTGCACTCGAAATATTCTTTATCCAAAGCGAGATCATCAGCCCTTATCCGTGCGATGCTGAAGTGCATATTCAATGTGAGCGCTCGCGCTTTTGTTTGGTGTACGTGTGAATTGATGAAATGCGAGTAAGTGAATAACAAAATGAGGTGCTTCAGTCTGGCTATCACAATGATTTCATCTGGACACGCTCATCTAGAAATATGGCCCAGAACACAGTGTTTACGCGGTCAAAACGGTTTTTGCTTCTGCACAAGGAAAAAAACTCATTTACTTAACTTACTCATATAATTTCATCCGAACGATTTTCTGTCTTGCGTCGAATAACTTTTTTTTCATTGAATTTCATTTCGCGAGATCACATTGAACTTCTTAATGCGTATTGATATAAGTCACTTCTGTCCGTTGTTTTGCGCTAGTTTTCTGAATAAATTAAGACAAACTGGACTCGCTCTGTCTCTGTTGTCATGAATCTATGTGCTGTTTTATTTCTTTCGTACCTTTTTCGGTTCGTTTTTGTGCGCGGCACAACGATGTGATTATGTGTTAAATCTTCCGCCACATGCGAAAATGCATTCCATTTATTTTGATTATAACTTAAATCCAATAGCCGCAAGCGATGTTTTAGATTAAACACGACGGACTTGGTGCCGTTTTTTTTCCCTTCATCCGTATATTTCTTTTCTTCACCTGAAAAGTATAATTTCGAATGGAAAAAGGGAGTAGAACAAAAAAAAAATTATGCGTATAGCCGTGAACGAGGCGAATTTCTCACAGGACAGAAATTCCGCTGGAATCGAATTTCGAATTGGCCTGCAGTGGTGTTTTTTTTGTGTGCATTCAAACGAACAAAAATTAAACTGCCAACAAATGCACACACACAAAAAAAAAACAAAAACGACGAAGGTTTAAACATTTTCGCCCATTCATTCATATATGTGTCCGAGCCAATTTGCATCAACGCTTCGTTTGGTTGGGCCATTTTCAAGGTGAAAACAAGACGAAATACATTCGAGTCGATCATTAATATTCAATTTCATTGGAAATTGCCAGGTTTCCATATCTTGATACAACTTTGCTAACATCATTCATAAAGTCTCGCGGGTGAGCGCACAGCACTCAACGTGGCCCAAAGACACATACCGCTCTCACATGTTTAAATATTGAACCAAAACGTGTGTTATCACAAGATTTACGATGCGTACAAAATTTGAATAATATTTTTTATTTTCGGAGTAAGCGTCGTTCGTGTGTGTGCAAATTACGGCATATGCACATTTCTCCATCTAATGCGCCTTTTTCGCCTTAATTCCAACGTTCTTTTGTTCTTTAGCTGGCTCAACACTCAAGAGCACTCCAACTTTTCAGAAGATTATTCAAAATGCCCGTTTTTTTACGATGTTTAGAGCTGTTTTGGTTTTTTGTACTTAACCGAGAGAGAGAGAGAGAGAGTCGCACAACCATTCAATGAAAATTGATGCTTAAAGTTGTGCGTTCATTCTCATTTTCATAAGTTATATACAGAAAACGGTTTCGGGTCTTTTGCACGGTCGTTGTAGTTGCTGTTGCCGCATCCGTTCTGTTCCACATCCTATACACTCATTTAAGCGCTGAAATGTGCTTCGCTTAAACCATAAATGGCTTGAAGTCGGAATGTATACACATATCCACTGAATGTATGTAAATATAAAATCATATTTTGCCACTGCACACACATTATAATTATTGCCATTATTGTTAGTTTGCATACATATAACGGCGGCATGACTCAAGCGATATGATGCTGGTTGCGATAGGACCATGAGCTCTATAATTTCGAGTGTGTGTGTGGAGTATAAAATATTAGAAGTCTTTTACGGCATGTGTTCTCGTTCATTCGGCTCGGCTCTTTCGCTCAATCTCACAAAAACAAAACAATTTTCGTGCTGATTCAACAAAACCACGCGAAAGCGCACCCGCTCAAGACTATTAAACGACTGGTTAACTCATTGCGGTGCCAATGGTGAAATGCTCTCGAATTATAAAATTTTATTGGATCGATAAGATGAGATTCGTTTTATTTGCGCACAACAAATTCCATTTCCACTTTGATGAGCTTCTTTCGTCGACTGATGTGGACGCTGATAATTGTGTTTTTTGTATTTCGAAAAATTGCGTTGCATTTTGGTGTGCCGGCGTGAGCAGTGAGTTTTTATTTTCATTTTCGAGAGCTAGCGAGCACACACACATTCAGCCTACGGCCATCCAGCAAATTCCAGTTTTATTGCACTGTTTGCAGTTTAATATTATTAGTGCATCAATCGATTGCTTGGCTCGTTGATCTTTTTTTCTGTGGCTATTTCCATGGAATGTTCTTCTCTCTCTCTCTCTAGCGCGCGAGCTCTCTCTCTCTCTCTGTGTCTGTGCATTCTATCTGGCTCGTGGCATGGCCACCTTTTGCCATCACCACTATTCATTAAAATGTGTGTACTTTGTGGAGTGCCCCCCCCCAAAAATATTTTATTAATTCGTTGGAACGCAGCGCGCACAGCACATACATCAAGCCATGAGTTATGGCCAATCAATAAAAACGCTTTAAAATTGACCATATCAAATAGCATACCAAAATCAATTACAATACTTTAATTGAATCATAAAAACATTCCGGCCGGATCTCTATTGGAAAAATAAAGAAAACCCTCACACACACACACACACACACACACACACACACACACACACACACAC